ATGGGCAGAAGTATCCAAACGACGAGGAATCTTCGATCAAGTATTGCAACGGCAAGATATTCATGAACACCTTGTTCTAAAACGTGTCATCATTATCCTCCTCTTCCTCCTCCTCCTCCTCCTCCATTCCTTTTCCTTGCAAGTAACTTCTCCCTGTCGCACCCCGAAGCCAGTTTTTACGCGGCGGGCTGGGCGTTTCGCTCGAAACTTCCTCATCTTTGAAGTTTTAAAATTGGCAACATTTTCACAGATGGAGGGCGGGTTGTTTTCAACATGTGGCTCTCGCCTTAGCGCGGCGCACATTCGATTCAAACATTGGCAACAGTTTCACGGATTGAAGGCGAATCGTTTTCAACATGTGGCTCTCGCTTTAGCGCCGCGCACATTCGTTTCAACCATTTTGCACAAGTTTCACATATTGAGGGTGGTTTCTTTTCAAAATGTGGGTCTCGCCTTAGCGCCGCGCACATTCGTTTCTAACTTGTGCAAGAGTTGCACGGGTTCCCATGTTCAGCGTACCAGAAATTGTGTTTTGGACGGGTTCAGGGTCATGAGGGTGCAACAGTTACGTTGGTTCGCAGTGTTGTCGTCCCAAGAATGGCTTTCTGGCACGATTCAGGATCGTCAGGACGTAGCAGTCAGGTTGACCCGTGGCCGTGGAATCCCGAGAACAATGTTGTGGCATTCCTCAGGGTCTTCAAACGGTTGTCTTCCAACACGGCAGTTCCGTCAGTGGAAATGAACCGTTGTAGGGCCTAAGGAGGGAGGGCTTATTCCAACATCGTTGATGATTCTTGGGTTTACGCTGGTCCTCCTCCTCCTCCTCCTCCTCTTCCTCCTACTCCCCCTGGTCAGCAGCAGTTCGACTGGGGGCGTGGGAGGGCTGGTGCCACGTGGATTGCACCTGGGTCTTCGGCCAGTGCATAGAGAAGGCAGCCTACCTGAGGCGCGCTGCGTCTCTGTCTCTCTGTCTCTTTGTCTCTCTCCCTCTCTCTTTCTCTTGCTTTCCTTCTTATCTAAGGCGCCTGCGGCGAATCACCGCCCTCCCCTGCCTTTTGGGATGCACCTCTGTGGCCAAACGTTTGGCTCCAGAGCTTGGACAAACGATCGGGTCAGGCGTTCCCCGAACCGCTGTGGAAACATTTCGGGGAACACGTGGGCGAGGAAGAAGAGGATGAGGAGGAGGAGGAGGAAAAAGGAGGAGGAAGAGGAGGATGAGTAGGAGGAATAGAGGAGGAATAGAGGAGGAGGAGGTGGAGGAGGAGGAGGAGGAGGAGGAAAGTGAGGAGAAGGAGGAGGAGGAGGAGGAGGAGGAAAAGGAGGAGGAGGAGATCTCTTGGGAGCCTCTTGCGTCACTTCTGGGGCCTCCTGGGAGCTTCGTGGGGCCTCTTGGAGGCCTCTAGGGGGCTTCCTTGGGCCGCTTGAGGGCCTTTAGGGGCTCGTTTGGGGCCTCTTTGGCCGTCTTACGGGTCTTCCGAAAGGGAATCATTTGTTTTCCTTCTTGGGGCCCTCTGGAGACGCCTCTTGGAAGCTTCCGTGGGCTTCTTGGAAGCGTCTGCGGCCGTTTGGAAACCCGAGAGTCGCGGGGATCGCGCGGGGTACTTTTCGTACCGGGACCCCCAGGGGCCGCCCCGCGCGCGCAGAAATAGATGGCTCACCAGTAGCCGGAGATCTTAGCACGCCTCTGGCCCGTTGGGCCGGCGAACTTGCGTGTGTCCCTGGGCCCCTCCAGAGGGGGAGGACGCTTAGGATCGACCAAAGAACAAACCACACCACCCCACCTACGTCCCTCCATGTGTCGCTACGGCCCATCGGGGGCCGTCGCGCATACCACGCGAAAGCCCACGCCAGTTTTCCTGGCATGCGCTAAGCCCCCTGGCGCCGTAGGTGGGGTGGTGTCGTTTGCCTTCTGGTTCATATGTGACGGGGGGAGGGGACGGCAGCACGACGATCGCATGCGCGCCCTCTCCGCCCCGGGCAGGACAGCAGCTGTCCGCCCTTCGCTGGCCCCTGTGGGCCCTGGAGCGGCCCCGCCCTCCTCTCTGAGAGGTGGGCCGCAAGACGTCCCCCCCGCGATCTCTCCTGCGCTCGGGGGCTTCTGCTCGGCTCGGCGGCGAGCGGCGGCGGGGGGGGGGAAGCGGGAAAGAGAAGGCCTTGTCAGCAGGCGGCGGGACTTCTCATTGGCCCTCGCGCCCTGCGGTGAGTTTTCGGTGCCGTCGGGGAAGGCATGGGAACCTGCTCAGAGCGCCGGGGGGCTGCCGAGCCTTTGAGGAGGCCCGCCACCTGTCATTTCCGCCCCCCCGGCTGGCCGCCGATTGGAATGTCGCCGCGGCGGCCCTGGCGACACACTATGCCTGGCAAGCGGATAGCGTGTCGCTCCGCTCCGCGGGGCGGGGGGCTCGGAAAAGGTCAAGACGCGAATGCCTGGGAACCGCGAAGGGGGATAACGTGTCGCGCCGAAGCATGGTGGGCCAGAACCGGCGGAGCGGCTTTCTTCGTCGGCGGCTAGGCAGAGCCACTGCGCTGGCGAGGAAGCGAAGCGGGGCTGCCGTGAAGCGAGTTGTGCCACCATGCGGGAGGGGAGAAGGAGACGACGAAGCGATGGCCGACAGAAGGAAGCGGGACGGGGCCGCTCAGGGGAACGGGTCGTTCCCGGGGGCGCGTGGCGCTATCCCAAAGTTCTCGACCGCAGTCCATGCTTGGTCAGCGCGGCCCTGGTTTCGGGCGCTGCCCTGGGGAGGAGAAGGGAGGGCCAGCCTGCCAGGCGCATGGCGCAGCGGAAGACGCCGAAGTGCTGCTCGGGGATCCGGGAGTGGAACGCCCTGGAGTGCTTCGACACCATGGAAGGGGAGGGTGGGAGGGGAGGGGGAGGGGACCAAGGGGGGATATCAAGATGCTTCCAAGACGCTCCGAAGACGTCCAAGATGCCCCAGGAGAGCCCAAGGTGGCCCCAAGGTGGCCCCAAGGTGGCCCCAAGGTGGCCCCAAGACCGCCCCGCGGGCCACGATGAGGACGACGAGCCCTACTGGGGGGCCGCGGAAGAGTTGCGACGATCAGCATTTTGTTCCTATGCTGTAGCCTTCATGGCATCAGGAAGCTCGTCAGGATCGTCTGGCAGGAACAAAAAGAGTGGCCCCAAGACCGCCCCAGATGGTGAGGAAGGGGCGAGTTCAACATCGGAACAGCGTAAACGGAGAACGACGAGGAAGTGGACGAGCGTGGTGATGAGGAGGAAGTCCTTGGACGTTTCCAGAGGTCCCCAGAGGCCGCCAGAGGCCCCCAGAGGCAGGTTTACATAGATTTCAGACGTCACGATCTTCTCGTGGCGCGGGCCAGTTTCCCTCCCTTTCCCAGGGCTTCTCCTCGTCCCAGACAGATGCTCGACGGCCCCCGAGCCCAAAGCGGGCCTCCAGCAGCCCCAAGGCGAGGAGCACCCGACCGCCTCGACCTCCTTCAGGAGGGGGAGGAGGAGCAGGAGGTCACCACCCACCAACCCACCCCAACCCAACCCGAAGGCCCCGATTTGCCCTCCATTTCCAGTGTGGGGGGGGTCTGGGAACATTGAAAAAACATATATGGAACCCGTACCCCTCCAACCCGAAATTCGTGTCTTCGGGTTGGGTTGGGGTGGTCTGGTAGGTAGTCAGGAGCATCCCCTGCAGCCTCCGAGCGACCACCCCCGACGAGCGTCACGCAGCGCTGCGGGCGCGGGGGGCCCGCCCGAGCCACCTCTGAGGACGGCCCCGCGCCAGAGGCCGCCCCCACGCGGGGGGCCGACGGCGGCGCGCGGCTCCCCGCCCCCCTCCCTCCTCCCTCCCCTCCTCCCTCCCTCTGTCCCTCCCTCCTCCCTCCCCTCACCCTTCCCCTCCTCCCTCCCCTCCTCCCTCCTCCCTGCTCCCTCCTCCCTCCTCCCTGTTCCCTGTTCCCTCCGCCCTCCTCCCTCTGCGCGCCGGCGCGAGGGCGCCCACCGCCGAGCTGCGGCGGAGAGCCCCGGCGCCACGAGTCGGCTGCCGAGAGCCTGCCGCAGCCTCCCGCCCTCGGGCCGCGGCCCGAGGAGCAGCTGCCAGGTCCTGGTTCAGAGTCGTCGTCGTCCTCCTCCTCCTCCTCCTCCTCCTCATTATCATCATCAACCTCCTTCTCCTCATAGTCCTCCTCCTCCTCCTCCTCCTCCTCCTCCTACTCAGGTGCCCATACCTCCATATCCTTCCCTCGTTTTCCCCTCCTTGGGGCCTCCTCGGGGGGCTCTCGCCGTCCCCGGCCGACTCGCCTCGAGATTCTGGCCAGAACGCGCCCCAGGAGGGGTCCGCGGAGTCGCGGTGTGGGTACATCTTGGTTTCCCCAAGGATGGCCTGCGGGCGCTATCTCGGTGACCGAACCGTCACCTACGCCGAGCTTTTGGGCCTAGAGGTAGTCGCAAGCCTTCTGCACAAACTGTGCAGCATCGCCTGGCGGTCGTGGCTCATTATGATAACTCACTTTGAACGCACGTGCCGAATCATATTCTCCGACGCTGGCCTTAGACGAACTCGTCTGAGCAGGCGGCCATCCATCCATCCAGGTCCAAGGGTCATGAGGAGGGCGCGCACTCATTGAGAAAGCACGGCGACAGTGTCACACACCAGACGGACAAAATAGCTGTGCAGCAGGCTCGGAACACATCCGACAAAGGGGCCGCGGGCTCCGGGATGAGATCCGCACGCCGCACCCATCCTGTGATTTGGATATTGCGGGTCTTCGAACCGTGTCAAGATCGACCCGATGTGGTCTCAGAGCTTCTCTCGACGCTCCAGACATGGCTTATCCAGCCCAGAGATCGGCTTGCTTTCCGTGAAGCACCCGCGCAGCATGCCAAATACAGTCAAATACTCTTGGGGAGTAAGACGGTAACAAGCAAGCTGTGGCCAATGGACTCGGCCGGAACCTGCTCGAGCTTGGCATGCTCCGTGTCTGTACTAGGGTAGTTTACTTTGGCCCACGTCCGCAGTGAATAAGGATAAGTATGTAAAGATCAGCGTTCCATTTGATAATATATGCCAGTCATTCTCTCGTCGATATCATGATATCAGCGTTTGCCACATACTTTCGGACAAAATCACAAGCTTGCCTTCTTTCTTGAAGTCTGATAGCACATACAAGTTCTTTGCCAACTTCGTCAGATCGGAAAGGGAGTAGGACGTGGCAACGATTCCCTGGCTTCTTGGTGCGCCTATTGTGGGCACCAACACTGGCCGTCCAATCAGCCAGTGTACGTCTCGAGCCAAACTTTCGTCCATCAGCATTCTCAGGATCACAAAGATATCTGGCCCAACACAACACCGTGCTCTTTCTTTTGCATTGAACGCATTCGATACGTACATCTCCTTTCTTCGTCGACCCTCTGGTCGGAACAAGAACATGATAGCCCTGAACCGCAGCTTCTCGGTTATGCAGGATACGTTTTTGCTCAAATAAAAGATCCTTGCCAGTCATGCCAGCGAGGTCAGATAATTCAGTAGCTGTCCACTGTACTGCTGCGCGTGCTGTGGCAATAGCTGTGACTGTCTGGACTTTCTTGACGACCCCAACTTCTCGTGCTGCATGTGCTGCTTGGAGAATGAGGTCGGACTCGCGCACTGTCTTGCTTATGTTCTCTGTGAGCTTCGGTACCGTCCATACAGGTGCAGGAATAGTACCCCAAAGTGGGGTGAGCCGTAGCCTAGCATTCTTGTCTGTAGTAGCCAGCGCAACTGAGTACAGTACTCGCATGGTGTGCTCGTGGCTGACGAAGGTGGGGCGGCACATGAGCCCAGGAACCTGTCGTATCCCAAGAGGTGTCAGCGTGCCCATCCATGAAAGTGTCTGCATTGGCGCCAGGCTGCAGCGACAAAGAATGGCCACCCGAGCTGCTGCTGTCGAGAAGTACCTCGCCATGCGCTCTTGGGTAGCCGTCGCCGCGTTCTCCTGTGCCGACACAAGAGCCAGGTCTGTGCAGATAGTGACGTCGATTGCCAACTCTGCCCAGGTAACTGATAATGTCGCCGTAGACGTGTCATCTGCTTCCCATCGTAGCCGCGAGAAATACCAAACAATAGCCGATAATAAAGCCTGCTGATACCTCCAAGTATTGTAGCCCAGAGTCTCTGGAATCTTTGGCGTCAACTTCCATGTCGTCAGGTACGGTGTGATTGGGTCCCAAGGATACCCAGGAAAGGCCATCTTGGGACTCCATGTTCGTAGATTGCACGTCGAGGGGTCCATAATCATAGGTAGATGTGAACTGCTCGAGGTGCTCGTCGTGGTTTTTGTAGTGGTGGCTAGCTTTGCTGGCGTCGTTGCTGTGGCACTCGTGTGCGATTGTGCTCGTCGTGGTGGTGCTGACTCGCTGCGGTACCTGCGCGTGGGCTCTATGTCGAGCACCGTCGTAGGTGGTATTGGTGAGAGTGTCGTGTCTAGGTCCTTGTCGGGCACTCGTGGCGACGTGTTGCCTGGTAGCCCCAATGGCACACCAGGACTTTGCGTTCTCCCTAGGACAGGGCCCAGCAGGCGGCCTCATGGCTTCAGAGGTGCCTCAGGGTGTTCGTTGCGTGATATCCGACCCCGCACCAAACCTCCAGGTCGGTTTTGGAGGTCGTCGCCGCGATCGCGGCGGCGGCATGCCCCTTCCCAGCTCCCCACCCCGCTTTGCGATGTAGGCGCGGCTCATGGTTATCAGTTCAGCGATCAAGAGCTGTCGACGCATGTCCAGCATGGGCTCTCATGCTTTTCGTTGGTCCGGGGCCGACGATCGCGCAGCCAGCAGCCTCAGAGGCGCGACAAGGCGTGGATGGGGCCTGCGCGAGTGCGGCCGCGGCCGCGCTCTCTTCGGCGTGCTCGTGCGGCGTTCTCCGCATCGGCACCGTGTGCCCTCTGCTAGGGGGCCACATGCGAACCCTACCCCTACCCCCCACGATTTCTGAGGGGGAGGGTGGGGTTCACTTCGCTCGGGAGCTCCCGAGCGAAGTGAACCCCACCCTCCCCCTCAGAAATCGTGGGGGGTAGGGGCAGGGTTCGCATGTGGCCCCCTACCTGCGCTTCCACCACCGATTTGCGTGATCGCCCGTGGACGCGAGCCTCTGCAGAGGGTGCCCGCCCTCGCGCCCGCCCGCGCGCGAGCAGCACGGGCGCGTGCGCTGCCCGCCTCCGCGGCCGCGAGGACGGGCCGCGGCCTCCCCGCCGCCCGTGCGCGGCACTCGGCGGGGCGCCGACCGGCCGCGGCCGGCGGCCGGTGCTGGCGGAGCTGGCCGGCGGAGCTGGCCGGCGGGGCGGCCTGGTGGTGGCCGGCCTGGTGGCGGTCGGCCGCGGGTGCGGGCGAGATCTGTATCCAGATCCACTGCGTCTCGGACTCTCTGGGAGGGGAGGAGTAGGAGGAGGAGGAGGAGGAGGAGGAGGAGGAGGAGGAGGAGAGGAGGAGGAGAGGAGGAGGAGGAGGAGGAGGAGGAGGAGGAGGAGGAGGAGGAGGAGGAGGAGGAGGAGGAGGGGACGCCGCAGGGCCGGGGCGCAGTGGACATGGGCACAACTCCAGCTCCCCAAACAAGGGGCCAGAGCTGTATACAGAGCCACTGCGCCTCGGGCTTCTGGCGAGGGGCGCCCGAGACTCCACGACGCAGCGGGTACGGATATATACATCTTGCCCGCAGCGGGGTCGTCTCGGTGCTGGTGGTGACCGCGAGGCGGGGCTGAGTTCGATTCCTCGGATCCGATCCGATTCGATTTCGATGGCTTTCCGATTCCGGTTCGGTGCGACTTCGGATGTTCCGATGCGGGATTCGGTGCTCAACGGAGGCCTTACTCGTCTGCCGATTTCCGCCGATTCGACTTCTCCCTGCTTGGCTGCCGATTTCTGCCGATCCGATTCTTTTCGATCGCCGATCCGACTTATCGATTTTGATTCTGGGCTCCCCTGCCAAAAGGCGGGGTACCGTGATCCCGCGACCGCTCCATGAGCGGCAGCAAGTGCTTGACAGGGGCAGGAATCGAGGCGACGCGGTCCGCCCGCGGTCGCGCCCCGCAGGCCTTGCGCGCACATCCGCGCGGCGCAGCCCTGGGGTGAGCAGCGCGCAGATGCGCCCCAGGGCGTTTTTGAGAGCTCACGGGGGGCCCCGGAGGGGGCGGCAGTGCGTTTCATCTTGGCTTTCTCTGATGTTTCGGGATGAGGAGGAGGAGGAGGAGGAGGAGGAGGAGGAGGAGGAGGAGGAGGAGGAGGAGGAGGAGGAGGAGGAGGCGGAGGAGGAGGAGAGAGGAGAGGAGGAGGAGGAGGAGGATTAGGAGGTGGAGGCGGAGAAGGAGGAGGAGGAGAAGGAGGAGGAGGAGGCGGAGAAGGAGGAGGAGGAGGAGGAGGCGGAGGAAACGCGAGGACGCGCACGGGCCCACGGCGTACCAGTGCGACGTGACGGGCAAGAACAAGAACCAGCAGTACATCTTCGACAGCCAGGGCCGGATAAGGCATCAGGCCAGAGTGCGATGCAGCGCGCGCCTTCGCCTCCTCGTTTCTCTCAGCGTCCCGCCCTCCTCTCAGAAGAGGGCCAGTTCGGGCAACGGTCATTGGCCTTTGGGGGGGCCCCTCGTCGCCACGGCCGGACGCAGCTCGAAAAACTGGTACGCTTGGAATGCCGAGAGGCATTTGGGGACCGGTTTGGAGCTGCCGTTGTCTCAACCCGCCATGCTCCGATTATCGCCTGTCCAACTCGTTGTTCGCCTCCTCTTCCTCCTCCTACTCCTCCTCCTTCTCCTCCTCCTCCTCCTCCTCCTCCTCCTCCTCCTCCTCCTCCTCCTCCCCCTCCTCCTCCCCCTCCCCGTTCTACTTCTTCTTCATAACTGCTCCATGTGAGTGCTACTTTCTTCTCTCTCCACTGATGCCGAGCTGATTTGCCCCGCCCATCCCACATACTGCTTCCGACAGACAGGATTGCACAGAGCCAGCACTCGATATTAGCATTCCCAGCCTTCGAATATGGCTCTCCCGCTGCAGCGTTGGCCACATCTCAGGACCGCCACTCTGCTCCCGTCGCTCGGGGTGGCGCTCTCGACCCGGCGCTGGCCACGTTTGGGGACCCGGCTCCTTTTTTGTCGTTGTCGCCCCTCTCCTTTCCCCTCCTTCGCCTTCCCCTGGTTTCGGATGCAACTCCCGGGAGGTCAAATTCTGTTCTCGCCCTTGTCCGAAATCCGGCTTAATCCAGCTTGATCCTTAATCCGGCTTAATCCCGCTTGATCCCGCTTGACCCGGCTCAATCTTGCTTGGTCCGAAGCCCTATCTGGCGGAACAGCTCCCAGATAGGGCTCGATCCTCCTTCATCTTTCCGGCGAAGCCCTCCCAGTTGTTGCCTCCTTACCTGGCCCTCCTCGCCTCCCGCTCCACCTCACCACTCACCAAACCACCCCAACCCAACCCGAAGGCCTCAATTTGACCTCCATTTCCAGTGGGGAACCCGAAATTCGGGTCTTCGGGTTGGGTTGGGGTGGTCTGGTAGGTAGTCACAACCTGCTCCACCTGCTCCACCTGCTCCACCTGCCTCCTAACCCGGTCCTCCTCCTCCCGCTCCACCTGCTCCCGCGCGTCCGGGGTCCCTCGGGTCCGAGGAGGGCCCCGAGGCGAGCGGGCCGCGTGCGGCCGAACGCGGCCCCTGCGCGACCCGCGCCGCTCAGCCTTCTCCTCCTCTCCTCCTCCTCCTCCTCCTCCTCCTCTCCTCCTCCTCCTCCTCCTCCTCCTCCTCCTCCTCCTCCTCCTCCTCCTCCTCCCCTCTTCCTCCTCCTCCTCCACCTCCTCCTCCTCCTCCTCTTCCTCCTCCTCCTCCTCCTCCTCATCCTCCTCCTCCAGAGTCCGTACGCCCATTAGCGCGTGGGCGAGAAAACGTGTCGCACTCTATTGTAATTGCTACATCTGTGAAGCGGACGAACAGAGCGTCCAACGGCTGTGAAGCGGAAGATGCACGGGCAGAGGGGGCGGAGGGAGGAAGAGGGGATAGCCAACTACAAGCGTTAGTTACAATCATTCCGTATCGTAAACTAATTTTGCAACGGAGCGAGACCATTGTCGCTTGTCTGCGACACGCTGGGGAAAAGCATAATCAGGCTCACACCAGCGTCGGATTTTCATATACAAGCACTTCGCCCACTCGTGGTTGGGACGCCTAACCTTCTGCTCAACTCCCCCCATGTGCACAGCCATCTCTCTACTTGCGAATCACACGAAGGGGTCAGCTTGGAGGTCCAGGTTCGCTAGGACACCCGTCGGTGTATAAAGAGAAAACTCAGCGCAACGGGAGGGATGGGTGGGAGGGGGAGGGTATCGAATGTGGCGGGGTGCACGTGGCTTGTCCTCCTCCTCCTCCTCCTCCTCCTTCCCTTCAGCTGAGGCGCCGAGGGGCCCCCGCGCCGCCTGCCAGCTGGCTGGACCCTGTCCAGTTGGCGCGCTTGCCTGCTCGCCCGTCCCCCCCCCACCCCAGAGGTCTCCGGAGGTCTCAAGACATCCCCGAGGTCCCCGGGGGCCCCCAGGTGGGCTCCATGCCCCCCAAAGGCCCGAAAGTGGCAGGTCATGTCCCACGACATGTCGGTTCTTGAGCGTCGATCTTCGAACCTTGATCCTCTCCCTCCCCTCTTCCCCCTGCGCTGCTTGTCCCCCTACTCCTTCTCATTCTCCATGTCCTCCTCTCCACTAATGCCCATCCTCCCCCCCTTTTTCCTCCTCCTCCTCCTCCTTTGGCGTCGGAGGCGCCGTACGGGTTGTGTGTTAGTTGCGATACCGTTGTATCAAGCGCCGTCGTTGTAGTCAGCATAAATTTGATCTTGCACGTGAGACGTAACCCTCATCGCGTGTCGCTGGCCATGTGATAAAATATATCATTGTTGCATATATATATATATATATATATATATATATATGTATATGCTCGCCCCCCTCCAGTATCCTGCCTTTCGCTTGTGCGCGATACCGTTACCCGTATCGTCCTCCTCATCCTGCTCCTCCTCCTCCTCCTCCTCCTCCTCCTCATCATCATCACTGCCACACTCTAGCGACAGAGGCGCGCTGCCGCGTGCGCGAGGCGATCCGTAAGGCCACTAAGTTCATCAGCGCGCCTCTGTCGCTAGAGTGTGGCATTGCACCCCTCGATGTTACCGGCATCATCATCATCGTCATCATCGTCATCATCATCATCATCATCATCATCATCATCATCATCATCATCGTCCTTCCGCTCCTCACCCTGCCCCCCTCATCGTTGTCATGCCTCCTTCCTCATTCTCCTCATCCTCATCCTATCCCTCCGCATCTCCCTCCTGCTGCCGCCTCCTCGCTCAGGTCTCCAACTCGTGTTTTTCACTCTTCCTCCAGCTCCATCGTCGATCTCTTTATCCTCCTCTTTCCTCCTTGTCGTTTGCTCCGCTACCTGACCTGCGAGCTCACGACGTCCCCCGATAAGCAAACAAGGTGGCACGCGGCAGGGAAGGGTATTGAACGCTGTGTGTTTCCAGCCTTTCCAGCTTTTCCCAGAGAGTACCCCGTTGAAAAACGTTGTGTGCTTCCAGCTTTCGCATCTTTTCTCCAGCTTTTCTCAAACATTGCCCCGTTGAAAAAGGTTGTGTGTTTCTAGCTTTTTCAGCTTGTCCAGCTTTTCCCAGACACTGCCACATTGAAAAGCGTTGTGTTTTTTTCAGCTTTTCCGGCTTTTTTCCAGACACTGCTACACTGAAAACGTTGTGTGTTTCCAGCTTTTCCAGTTTTTCCAGCTTTTCCCATTTTCCCAGAGAGTACCACATTGAACAGCGCTGTGTTTTCCAGTTTTTCCTGCCTTTTCCAGCTTTTCTAAATGGCTACCCAATTGAAGCACGATTTGTTTTCCAGCTTTTCCAGCTTTTTCCTATATTTTTCAGAGAGTACTCGTTGACAAACGCTGTGCTTCCAACTTTTCCAGCTTTGCAAGCTTTTTCAGCTTTTCCCCTAGACTACGTAGCAGGGTAACTGCTGGGAACAATGGGGAAATGGGAAAAGCTGGAAAGCACAGCGTTTTTTCATCGGATAGTCTCTGGGGAAAGTTGGGAAAGCTGGATAAGCTGGAAACACAGCTCTTTTTATCGGGTGGTCTCTGGGAAAAGCTGGAACAGCTGGAAAGCATAGCGTTTGTCATCGGTAATCTCTGGGCAAAGCTGGAAACATGTGAAAGCTGGATAACTGTTTTTCACCGTGTAGTCTTTGGAAACAGTTGGGAAAGCTGGACAAGATAACGTTTTCCATCAGGTAAGCTCTGGGGAAAAGCGGGGAAAACTGGACAAACTAGAAAGCATAGCGTTTTCCCAATTACTTAAATTCGTAACCCCTGGAAGAAGATGGGAAAGCTGGAACAACTGAAAATCAGCATCTTTTTTTCATTGGGTAGTCTCTGGGAACAGTTGGGAAGTTGAATCAGCTGGAAAACACAACGTCTTCCAGTGGCAGAGAGAGGGAGAGAGAGAGAGAGAGAGAGAGAGAGAGAGTGCGATAGAGACAGAGACAGAAAGAGAGAGAGAGAGAGAGAGAGAAAGAGAGAGAAAGAGAGAGAAAGAGAGAGAGAGAGAGATACAGAGGGGGAAAGAAGACGAACAAGAACCGAAGAGGGAGAGGAGGAAGGAGTGGCAGAAGGAGGGGGATGCATGATGCTGGGGGGGGGGCATCCATGTGTATATGTATCTACACATGTACATGTATATATGCACATGTATAGTTGTCTAGTTATCTATACGCACATCTATTTATATCGGTGGTAGTCGGGAAACACGCAGCCGCCCATGCGGTGCCACTCGTCACCAACGGTGCTGCTGGACGGCAGGTCGCGAATCAACGTTTCGGTTGCGCCTTCATTCCAAAATCTTCTCAGACACCGTTCCTGGAACGTCAACATTGCAAACCAGCGATATGTTGCGTCCTGACAATCCTAAGCCGTGCCAGAACACCATCCCTGGGATTTCAAACGTACGAGCCCCCAAAGCGGTTCGTTACAAAATGAGTGTGCGCTGCGCGAAGGTGAGAGCCACAATGTGACGATGACCCGCCCTGCAGCGGCGAACTTTTAAGACGAATGTGCGCGGCGCTAAGGCGAGAACCACATTGTGAGAAGGACCCGCCACTAATCCGTGAAGCTGCTGCACGCTCTGACAACGAGTGTGCGCGGCGCCAAGGCGAGAACCACACTGTGAGAAGGACCCGCCCCCCAATCTGTGAAATTGCTGCATCCTTTGAAAACGACTGTGCGCGGCGCCATGGCGAGAACACCATTTTGAAAACGGCTCGCCCGGAATCTTTGAATCGGCTGCAAGTTTTTAAGACGAATCTGCGCTGCGCTAAGTCCAGAGCATGGTTTTGAAAACCGCACGCCCTCCTTCCTGGAAGCTGTAAATTTCAAGCATAGAAGTCTCAGGCGAAACGCCTGGCCCGCCCTACCGACACGTCTAGGGGTGCGACAGAGAGGAGTTATTGATAAAAGAGAGATATGGAGGAGGAGGAGGAGGAGGAGGAGGAGGAGGAGGAGGAAAAGGAGAAGGAGGAGGAGGAGGAGCAGGAACAGGAGGAGGAGAAGAGGAGGAGGAGGGAGGAGGAGGCGGAGAAAAGGGAGGAACAGCAGGAGGGAGGAGGAGGAGGAGGAGGAAGGAGGAGGAGGAGGAGGAGGAGGAGGAGGAGTTATCCGAGGAGGAGGAGGAATTCTTCTCTTCCTCCCTCCTCTCTCCCTCCCTCCCTCCTCCTCCTTCCTCCTCCCTCCTCCTCCTCCCTCCTCCTCGTCCGTCCTCGTCCTCGTCCTTCCTTCCTCCTCCTCCTCCGTCCTCTCCTCCTCCCCTCTTCCTCCTCTCCTCCTTCCACCTCCTCCTCCCCCATCTCCTCCCTCCTCCTCCTCCTCCCTCCTCTCTCTCCTCCCTCCTCCCTCCTCCTCCTCCCTCCTCCCTCCTCCCTCCTCCCTCCTCCCCCTCCTCCCTCCTCCTCCTCCTCCTCCTCCTCCTCCTCCTCCTCCTCCTCCTTTCTCCTCCTCCCTCCTCTTTCTGTCCTGCTGCTGCTCCCGTTCCTGCCGTTCCTGGCCCTGACGTCACGGTCTCTCCATGTGTCGCTGGCCGCCCAGGGACTTCAGGCTGTCGGCCCACCCGGTCACCGTGGCCTGGGCTGCAGGTCTCAGTATGCTTGAACCGATCCCTATCCCCATCCCCACCCCCATCCCGATCCCGCCACCCCAGTTTGGGATATGCCCCTCGAAACTCGAAGGAAACAGCTTGTATGCACATGTGTGGGGGGGTACATCGGCCAGTGGGGCCAAGGCCAACCCCGTGGGGATAGGGGCTCTAGGGGGCCTAGGGCTTCTTGGGGGTTCATCGGCCAGTGGGTCCCTTGGGGGCCTAGGGCTTCTTGGGGGGCTCTCTTGGGGGGCCTTGCTGGCGGTCTCGGGGGTCGTCTTGAGGCGGAGGGCTCGACATGTCAGTTCGAGTCTTCTTCTTTGGGGCACTCTCGGGGCCTCTCGTGCAGTCTTGAGGCCCTCTCGGGCCGTTTTGTGAGCCTTCTGGGGGCCTCTTGGGCCGTCTTGGGGCGATCTTGGGGGCCCATCGGACACTCTTGGAGCGTCGGAGGCCCGGAAAGGCGAGAACGCTAAAACCATTGAAAAATCGATGGGGATTTGGGCACTCTTGCCGTGCTGCTTTCGAGGGCCCCGTGGTCGTCGCGATGTGCAGTCAACCCGCATCGTGAGGATTGGTGGCCCCCCACGGGCGCCCTTGTCTCCTGACCTCTGCACGCTGGCCACTCCGCTACAGCCGTGCCCCCGCTTAGTTGGCTTCCTCCGCCAGCGCAGACGACCCCTGCCCAGCCGCCGACGCAAACATGCCCTGACCTATCGGCCCATCCTGGCCCGCTGCCGGTGGCCATGGGCTTCAGGCTTCGGCTTCACCTCTTGGAGTCCAAGGGGCCTTTCCACCCTTCCCGCGCATCCTCAATGGTCCCGTCGCGCTGTAGCCAGCATCGCGCTTGGGCGTTCC